AACCCACTCCCAACCCTGGGATAGAGATATCAAACAACTCCTAACCCTGGGATTGCATTATAATTACACTGTCAACCCCGGGACTGAGATATCAACCCTGGGATCGGGATATCAACACACTCCCAACCCTGGGATCGGGATATCAACACACTCCCAACCCCGGGATTGGGATATCAACACACTTCCACCCCTGGGATCGGGAAATCAACACACTCCGACCCCTGGAATTGGGATATCAACACACTCCCAACCCCGGGATCGGGATATCAACACGCTCCCAACCCCGGGATCGGGATATAAACACACTCCCAACCCTGGGATCGGGAAATGAACACACTCCCACCCCTGGATTGGGATGTTAACCCACTTTGAACTCTGGAATGGATGATCAAAACACTCCCAACATTGGGATCTCATTCCACTCCCAGCTCCAGGATTTGGTTATCATCCAAATCCCAAGCAATGATTTGGAATATCATCCCACTCCCAACCCTGGTATCAGGATATCACCCATTCCCATTTCCAGGATCGGGCTATTAACACATTTGTGGAATTGGGATATTAACTCACTTTGAACTCAGGAATCAGGATATCAACCCACTCTCCAACCTCAGGGTCAGGATATCAACCCACTCCTAGCCACACACTTACCGGATTGGGATGTTAACCCACTTTGAACCCTAGGATTGGGATATCAATGCACTCTCAACACTAGCACCAGAATACCACCCACTCTAAAAGACCATAGGAGAGAGAAGCAGAGTTAGACTATTCAGCCCATGGAGTTGATCCTGGCTAATCATGATTCTCAACCTCATTCTCCTGCCTTCTCTCCATAAGCATTGATCCCCTTACCAATCAAAAATAATGGGAGGTGAAGATAGAGTTTAATGGTAGTTGTCTTTTCCCTAGGATGGGGATTTTCAAGACTAGGGGGCACATTTTTGAGGTGACCGGAGAGAGATTTCAGAAAGGCATAAGAGGTAAATGTTTTTACACAGAGGGTGGTTTGCGTGACGAATGAGCTTCCTGAGAAAGTGGTGGATGTGGGTACAGTTACAGCGTTTAAAAGACATTTGAATAGATACATGAATAGAAAAGATTTGGAGGGATATGGGCCAGGAGCAGGCAGGTGGGACTAGTTTAGTTTGGGATTATGTTTGGTGTGGACTGTTTGGACTGAAGGGTCTGTTTCTGTGCTGTATGACTCTATGACTGTATCTCTGTCTTAAATATGCTCAGTGACTTGGCCTCCACAGCCCTCTGTGGCAATAAGTTCTACAGATTTTCCTCCCTCTAACTGAGGAAATTCTTCCTCATCTCAGTTTTAAAAAGTCATCCCTTCACCCTGAGTCTGTGCCTATGCGTCCGAGTCTTTCCTACTGGTAGAAACATCTTCTCCACGTCCACTCTATCCAAGCCTCTCAGTATTCTTTAAGTTTAAATCAGATTCCCCCCATCCTTCTATACTCCATCGAGTACAGATGAGGTGTTGGGGGCCAGGAAATTGGAAGTCTTGGAGGAGGTGGAGGACGTGTGTGGTGTCCCAGACGTGGGTGGGGAGTTCCTGGACCGGGGGGAGAAAACAGAGTCAAGGTAAGCAGAGATAAGTTCAGTGGGGCAGGAGCAGGCAGAGACAACGGGTCGGCCGGGGCATCCAGTCCCTATACACTTGCATTCCCCATACAGATGGCCTAAAGGCCCTCTGTTTCTTCCTCTCCCGCAGGCCCGGCCAGTCCCCTTCCACCGACGCCCTTGTCCGCTTAACTGAACTCGTCCTTACCCTTAACAACTTCTCCTTTAACTCCTCCCACTTCCTACAGACAAAGGGGGTGGCCATGGGTACCCGCATGGGCCCAAGCTACGCCTGCCTCTTTGTAGGTTATGTGGAACAATCCCTCTTCCGTACCTACACTGGCCCTAAACCCTACCTCTTCCTCCGTTATATTGATGACTGTATCGGTGCCGCCTCGTGCTCCCCTGAGGAGCTCGAACAGTTCATCCACTTTACTAACACCTTCCACCCCAACCTTAAGTTCACCTGGACCATCTCTGATACCTCTCTCTCCTTCCTGGACCTCTCTGTCTCCATCTCTGGTGACCGCCTTGAAATTGATATCTATTTCAAACCCACCGACTCCCACAGCTACTTAGCCTACACCTCCTCTTACCCACCTTCCTGCAAGAATGCGATCCGCTACTCCCAATTCCTCCACCGCTGCCACGTCCGCTCCCAAGATGGGGCTTTCCACTCCCGAACATCCCAGATGTCCTCCCATTTCAAGGACGGCAACTTCTCCATTTGATGGTCGAAAATGCTCTTGACCACATCTCTTGCATTTCCCACACCTCTGCCCTCACATCCCCTCACCGAAACAAAAACAAAGACAGAATCCCCCTTGTCCTCACATAGCACCCCACTAACCTCCATATTCAACGTATCATTCTCTGCCATTCCGCCACCTACAATCCGACCCCATAACCATAGAGATATTTCCCTCCCCACCTCTATCTGCCTTTCATAGGGACCGCTCTCTCCACGACTTCCTTGTCCACTCCACACTCCCCACTAGCCCCACCATCCCCCTCACCTTTCCCTGCAACTGCAGGAAGTGCTACACCTGCCCCTACACCTCCCCCCTCACCTCCATCCAAGGCACCAAACAAACCTTTCACATCAGACAGAGGTTCACCTGCACATTCGTCAATGTGGTCTATTGCATCTGCTGCTCCCAATGTGGCCTCCTCTACATCGGTGAGACCAAGCGGAGGCTCGGAGACCACTTTGTAGAGCACATTCGCTCGGTTCACAACAAATGACAACACCTTCCTCTTGCGAACCACTTCAACTCCCCCTCCCTGGGCGACATGTCCATCCTGGGCCTCCTCCAGTGTCACAGTGGCACCACCCGCAAACTGGGGGAACAGCACCTCATATTCCACCTCGGGAGCCTACAGCCTGATGGCCTAAATGTGGATTTTTACCAGTTTCAAAATCTCCCCACCCCCGACCTCATTCCATGACCAACCCTCCCTCCCATCCCCGCCTCCTTGACTTGACACAACCTGTCCATCTTCTCTCCCAGAGATAGTAGGAACTGCAGATGCTGGAGAATCTGAGATAAC